CTGATCGTCCACGATGAACTCCTCTGGAAGCTTCAACCTGGATAAATGAACCTGAAAAACCTAAATGAATGGTAAAATCTTATTTATTCAATTTAAATAAAAATAACCGCAAAGAAACCGACCGGTCGGCAAAGAAAAGAGAAAAGAAGAGCAAAGAAAGGTATCTATATAGGATTTATGCTCTATATAACTCTATATAACTCTATATAACTCTATATAACTCTATATAACTCTATATAACTCTATATAACTCTATATAACTCTATATAACTCTATATAACTCTATATAACTCTATATAACTCTATATAACTCTATATAACTCTATATAACTCTATATAACCATACATACTACCACATTCAATCAATAAAAATCCTATTAAAACCAGGAACCACCGCGTACCTGCTGAATGTATGATGTGAAACAAAACAAAAAAAAACACAAAACAAAAATCACACCACCAAGTAGAGTAAAAGAATAGGAGTCCCTAACCTACCTATGTAACTAAATTACCTTATGCCCTAGCCTACCTATATAATAAATTAATTTTTACCTCACCTACCTATGCTTCATTAACTTAACTCAAGACTCATGAAGAAAGAGAAAAAGGAGTAAAACAGAACATAAAATACTACCACACAAACAAAAATGATGTATGTATGTATGTATGAGCAACCGTTAAAGAACCCACCTAAAATTAAAAAAATACCACCTACAAACATTCAAACCACCTACAAACATGCAAACTCTATATAACTCTATATAACACTATATAACTCTATATAAATCTATATAACTCTAAATAACTCTATATAACTCTATATAATAAAATAAATAAAAATAAAAAAAGTTTAAAAATAAAATAAATGAGATCAGACAGACCGCTTCAAGCGAGGCAGAATGCTGATCTGATTTTCATGTTGTCTCAGCTCCTCTATTTATACTCGTTTCAACCATACATTCTCATCATTTCAATCATTCGCATCAGTAAAACACTTGTTTAATTTATATACTGCACTATTATACAGTCTTAACCACAATGCTAACCGTACTAAATTGAAGTCATCGAACGAACGCCTTCGAAACTTTCTGGTTGGCTGGTTGAATCTGCTATATTGCTTTTCATATAAACATATAATCTAATATAATATAATTTAATTATTTGTATACATGGATTCCAGTCACTTTATATATATATACATAATAAAAATTCATTATAAAAGCAACAGTAATCAGTGCTATATATGTAAGCACGCAGTTCAAATTTTTTGGGGAGAATTCAAAATTGTTTGAGACCACACCTTGCTTAAAATCAGATTCCAAGCCGAGCCAAGCCAAGCTGAGCCAATATGCATAGATTTATAAGCGCTTTTATGTTAAAATTTTGCTCGCTATATTATATATTTTATAAATTCATTATAAAAACAACAGTAATCATTGCTATATATGTACGCACGCAGTTCAAATTTTTCGGGGAGAATTCAAAATAGTTTAAGACCACACCTTGCTTAACATCCGATTCCAAGCCGAGCCAAGCCGAGCCAAGCCAAGCTGAGCCAATATGCATAGATTTATAAGCGCTTTTATATTAAAATTTTGTTCGCTTTTTAAACGAATATCCCAATATAACAAATTCTCCATCCTATTTTAACTTTCTTTGATGCTTTTTAATCAGTCAGGTTACGAAAATCATTATCGATATCACAATGAAATCAATTTGAAATTTTTTTTAATTAATGATAAAATTTTTAAATTGTTGATAAAAATAACTAGTATATATAGTGTAGTAAAACGTTTAAAATTTTTTGAGAGAATTCACAATAATTTGAGACTACACCATAACACAATTGTATAATTTGAATGTGTAAATACAACATTATAAATGTATTATAACTACGTGTATATATCTATCTATTTCTTTATTAAGTTCTGCCTGTGTATGATATTTTGTCAAATTTATTTGATAGGAATTGAATATAACCTTTATACCGGCTGATTAACTACCACGCAGTAATGCAGTAGAATAACTACTGTTGACACCATTTCCTCCAACGATTTCGCAACGAATTGCCCATACCATATAATTAGAATAAACTCTTTCAATCAATGTTTAAATTTTTATATTGTCATTTATTCTTTCGTTTTTGTTTCTGTACTAATTTTCGTGTCAGATACAATAATTTAGTTTTTAAGTAAATTTTCATTTTCGTAGCTATACACAAACATGCCTACCTGTTGCATTTAAAAATTGCATTAATAATAAATAGAAATGAGAAAATTTTTGATGCATCTTTTCACAGGTTTATTTTCAAATTAACTTCACATTAAAATAAATGTAACAATATTCCTATACTCATTGACTAGAACTATTTTGTTTTACAATTACATATATTTTATTTTATAGACTATTATAATTTATAATGCTATCATGGATTACCATTTTATTATTAAAACCAATACTTAAGAAATGCACAAGTTTCTGTAACAGTTTATAAAATTTCAGATTTCCTCAAAATGTAAAAATGCAAAACGATTGGATTAAGTGCGTCAGACAGGCAATAAAATAAATGATTTCAAATGGCTTCCATCAAAAAATGCAAGAATATGCAGTGACCATTTCTGTAATAAAGATTATAAGGGTTATGATGGAGAAAGGAAGGTAATGCTGAAGGAAGCATTCCCATGTTTTCAAGTTAGTTATATTTATAATTTTATATGTCATCAGTTACACAAGGAAGCAATTCACATCACCATTGTACATTGCAACATTCTTATCTATACAAAAAATATAAAATGCATTGAACAATATTCCATGTATTTTATTAAAACTTAGAAAGGGCATAATGACATTGTGAATAATAAACCCTGCTTAGGACTGGGATCATCATCATCATACCAATCACCATTACAAGTAGAGTCAATTTTATATTAATGCTTAACAATTTAACTAAATTGGCATAATCAAGTTTTTATATGAAATACACATCAAGTATTTAATGTAACAAATAAATTAACAGAAAAATTTCTGGAAAAGTTTAAAAAAATTAGAACATATGACTCTGATCAAAAATCATTCACGTTGACACTGCATTTGTATAGGCATAAGGCATATGATTATCTTTGGACAAATGGCTTTCATCTTCCTCACACTAGGACATTAAGAAAGTAATCTTGTCATACCTGTTCAATAATTTTAATAAGATTGTTTTAAATAACTATTCTCAATGTCATTTTATTAACACTACATTAAGAGGTGGCTACAAAACATTGATGGTATGCCTGGGGTGATTTCTACAAACCTTATTGACTAATGGTGATGGGGATCCTCTGGAACTGTAGGATCATGACATTCAATCTAGTCATGGATTGAGAAATCAATCCTTGATATATTTGATAACAAACATTTATTATAATATAAGAATGAAAAAAAGATGTAGGTGTAAGGCAAAATCTTATTGGAACTATTATTTTTAGCAATGTATGATTTATTTTGCTATTTATGACTTTATCCATTTTCAATGATACCGATATTTTTAATTATTATTATCCAAATTATACTCATGCCTATATAAATTAATTTGATTGTGGCTACTTCTATGCTTAATTATTTTATTTACTTGCCATAGGTATGCACAGCATTTAATAAATTAATGATAATAATTAATAACACAACATTCTAAGTGCATAAAATATAATAAATTAAAAGTACAATTTTTACAAACCTCATTGGTTATGGTGATGGGGATTCTTTAAAACTGAATGATCATGATCTAACAAGTCATGGATTGATGAATCACTGGAATCACACATTATCTTTAATAAATTTAATAACAACATGTACTACAATTTAAGAATGAGGAATATTTTGTAAAACATTAAATGAAAAAAAATTTAGTTTGTAAATTTTAATTAAATTGCAAGTTAGCTTGGAGAGTTTGAAGCTTGAATTGAACAAATTACAAAATTGTTTATTTTATAAAATTGATTGGTAAGTTGTTTAATATATTTATTTAATTTAGTATATTTTTTATTCCCAGACCTAAGCATTGTAAATAAAAATTTTAAAACCAATCAAGCAATAGAATTTATGATCTTAGGAACAAGTGCTGTTAGTCCTTAGTGTAGTAGTAGTATGTAGCAGTGTAGTGGTTGGTAGTTTCTAGTAGTCTAATCTGTTAATGTTCGTTAGTGTTATCTGTTATTTATTTCAATTAGTAATTAGAATCAGTAGAGTTTAGTTTTAGCTTAATTATTATGTTTAGTAATTTAATTACTAATTAGTCGTCGTTTAGTGTTGTTACACTGTAACAGTTACAGTTAATGAGTTAAGTGTTGTTGTTGGTGGTTCACAAAAAATTTTTTTTATTTAAAATGCAAAAAGATACTTAACCGTCATACAGCAATATCTATTCTAAAACAGCATCTAGTACCTTTTAAAACATTTTGAAATTTTAAATAAAAGCAATATTCCGAAATTAGTAAATATACGATCGTAACTTTTGACTTGGCGATAAAAAATTACCCTCCAATTTCCCTCCGGAAGTAAGCTCCTTGTTCGACCGTCAAAAATGAGCGAAGGCCGTTATATTTATTCTAATTATATGTGTATCATAATAATATTTGTCATTTAGTGTCATAATAATAGAAGACATAGTATTAGTAGTAATAGTAGTAGCAGGAGTAAAAGCTGTAGCAATAATAGTAGCCACAACAACAACAACAGCAGAAACTACAGCAACAGAATTAGTAGTAGTAGTAGTAGTAGTAGCAGCAGCAGCAGTATTAGTAGTAGTAGTTGTAGCAGCAGCAGCAGTAGCAGTAGTAGTAGTAGTAGTAGTAGTAGTAGTAGTAACCACAGTAGTATTAGAAGCAGTAGCAGCAGTTACAACAGTAGCGGCAGAGGCAGTGGTAGTATAGAAACAGCAGTAGCAGTAACAGCAGTTGAAACAGTAATAGTAAAACAGTGGTAGTAGTCAAAAATGAAAAAATAGACGAAAAAATATGCCATTCATGTTTGACAAACGATTAAGTCGAGTCGTGATGGCGGGCGTTTACAACCAGCGAACCAATTACGTTGACTTAAACGATGGTAATGATGAAGATGACGACGACTGTGATGATGGTTATAAAGATGATGAAGATGATGATGACTGTAACGATGGTTATAAAGATGATGATGATGACGACGACGATGATGACGAAGATGATGGCGAAGATGACGATGAAGAAGATGACGATGACGAAGGAGATGATGAAGATGATGATGAAGAAGATGACGATGAAGAAGATAATGACGAAGGAGATGAAGAAGACGACGATGAAGAAGATGACGATGACGAAGATAACGAAGGAGATGATGAAGATGATGATGAAGAAGATGGCGAAGGAGATGGCACTAATCAGATATATCATGCAGTATAAACAAAACGTTTAGCTCACATTCTACGCAGAGCAAATTGCTAGATACAAAACGACATGTACATTGTACAACGTATAATAAAATTATATCTATAACCCCCCAAATATTTTTTTATTATTTAAAAATTGGGTTATTTCAAAATAATTTCCTATTAATTTAATATTAATAAACTATAATTTCGTTATAAAAATTAAATTAAACGTTTTATTTTAATTAATTAATTAATCAATGCCTTTTAATTTGTCAAAAATATTTCTCATTAGTCCAGGCAATGTCAAAGGCAAAAATTATAAAACACGAAACTCAAATTTAAAAACTGGATTAGATTTAATTGCACTAATAATATTATTAAAAACAACAATTACCGCCTATAATTAATCGCAATCAATTATGAATGGTATAGCGGTAAAGTCTCTGGAACTTCTAGTGCATTAACTGCATTCAATTACAAAAAGATCCTGATCTGTTGTTGATGTTTCTGAAAAATATTGAAGAGATAATTGTTATAAATTATCAATATACAAATAATTAAATAAATAAAACAAATAAAACAAATAAATAATTCATATTTACTGGAAATAATTACGACAAAATAAGAAAAAATGAGTACTCCGACAGAATTTTTGACATTTTTTTAGAAATCATGGATAAGCTGGGCGTCAACATTTTTATCTTCTTGGTCGGTGAGATTTTGTTAACAATTTACTTTAAAATATTTTGTTTGTCGATGTTGTTGTTTTTCGTTGTTGTTGTTTGTTTGTTGTTGTCGTCGTCGTTGTTGTTGTTTGTTTGTTTGTTGTTGTCTCTCCAGAATTTCTGCCATCATCTTTGCAGTCTCCATCAGGCCCTCACTCAATTCACCCAGCCCTGCACCAAAATCATACCTGTCACTCGACTCCTACATGTTCCGACCTTCCATCCAGAAATGTTGAGTCGATTCTTCTGCCTCACAGCACAATCTGCATTGGTTTTCATTTATTAGGCCTATGCGTGTTCTGTAGTCCCGAAGATTCGTGTGGTGACCAGCTTTAAAACGGCTGATGTCCGTTCTTGATTGCTTGTCGAGTTTCTCTTGGCAGATATTAATGGCCTTTGTATACTCTTCGGAGCCATTCTGTACTGATTTCTATTGCTCTCCTTCCTACTTCATAGCTTCTACACCTGCGCTCGGCATGTACTGTGGTTTTACTGATGATGTCCGACCCCTTGTAAGCAGTCATTTCTGCTCCCCCTCCTTTTGTGGCTAGGTTCACTGAACCATCAGTGTATATTATGACGTCATATTTTTCCACCTCCGATATTACCTCTTTAATTACTCATCTTTTCTCCTCCGATGATGGGTTTTTTTCTGTTTTGGCCAATATGGTCCTGACGAGCTTGAGTTTCCATTTCATAATACTTGTACGTTTTTCATGAGCTCAGATACTGATTTGTAGTGTGCTGTGCGCCAATCCTTTAAATTGATGTGATGTGTAATTTCTTTTTCTGCTGTCTTCCTCCTGCTATCTTCTGCCGGCGACGTGAATCATGTGATGGATGGCTTTTTTCACCCAAATCTTGTCCAGTCTGGTTGGTTTCCAAGGGTTCTAGTTTTTGTTGTTTATTATCGTTATAATAATCATTATTAATGTTATTTACTGTTATTAATGTTATTTATTGTTATTAGTGTTATTTATTGTTGTATTTTTTAAATTTTGTTTTCAAAAGTTGAAAAAGCTTGAAATCAACATGAGATAATAATGAAATGAAATGAATGAATGATTGAATGACTAAATGAATAAAGGAACGAGCGAGGGAAGAAACTAACAAATGAACGAATGAAATACTAACTATACACACATGCAACCACACCAACCAATAAACAAACAAAAAAATATAAAATGCAACAATAACAACAACACCTCAAACAAAAATATCAAATAATTCAACAGTAAATTAACAAAACATAAAACAAGAAAACAATAATTCCAAAAACCTTATTCCACACACAAACACGAATCTTGTGCACAAATATAGGCACACAAACAGACAGGCATATATAGGCATACAGGAATAGGAACATAGAAGTATGTACACTCGCGTTGGAATGAATGGTAGTGTTGGGCGGAGAAATCAATACAAAATATACACACGCACTCTAACAACTTGTTGTTGGGTTTTGTACATCATGCGGTGTGTGCGATACTAAACACAACACACACACACACCACACACACAGACACACACAAACACAAACAAACACACCACACACACACACACGTTGTTTTACGGGAGTTTTACGGTTTGTTAAATAACTGTTATACAGGTACACACGCATTTATACCATTATTATTAACATCATTTGTCCTCTCTTAAATAACTTTCACATTTTGAATAAACACACATACATGATTCCAAACTAAGCAGTACTGTATTCATGGATATCCATGGATACGATACTATATCACTCACACACATTGCATGGGATACCCGGGGTAGGTAGATAGATATCTTACTTACAACAACAAGTCTAAACCCTTTAACCATTTTGCTCTCCCTTAAATCATAGCAATAAGGCCCTACCTAGTTATATAAATTTAAAATTAGAATGAAAAAAAAAAAATTAGAGATTTTCTACGATGTTTTATGTGCAGTATGTCTCCAGAGGTTTGAGGGAAAAAATATGTAAATAAAAAAAATTGCATTCATGTCTTGAGTGTGTATGCAGCTATGTTTGTATGTATTTGTATAGGTGTGTATCTTTATGTGTGTGTGTGTGTTGTATGTATTTGTATAGGTGTATATATATATATATATGTGTGTGTGTGTGTTTGTGTGTTGTATGTATTTGTATAGGTGTATATATATATATATATATATGCGTGTGTGTGTTTGTGTGTTTTTAGTTGTATAGGTGTGTATATTAGTATGTATGTATGTATGTATGTGTGTGGTCATCAATTATATAGTCGGGTGGTGAATAACATATTATTATTATTATACGCAAATAAGTTTAATTATTTTATACAATTCAATCATACATATACATTAACGTATATATATATATAATACAATACACATGTATGCCTGCCTATAATATGTATGTATATATATATACATATGTGTATGTATGTATTTATGTATGTATGAATATTCAAATTAGAATTAAACAGAGGGGGTTGGCACAACCCTGAAGGCCCCCTTTGCTATGCAAACTTTTCATTTCTAGCATACGTACCGGTTGTATGTTATTGATTATTAAAAGAGCATTCTCTTAGGAAAATGCACAAAGGATTGAAAGACAGAAAGAGGGAAAAAAGAAAGAAAGAAATTGAGAAAAAGAGAAGGAGAGAGAGAGACAGAGAAGAATATATGCATGCATGAATGAATGAATGTATATTTTTATGCCCCTATGTGCAATGTGCATGTTTGGGTGAATGATATAACGTTTTTGTTTATGTAGAGTATATAACATCCTTAAGAAAGAACCATAGGTATTATTATCATTATTATATGCTTTGCTGTTACTAATACTACAACTACCACTACTACTACTACTACTACACTAGTACTACTGCTACTACACTACTACCACTACTATTACTACTACTACTACTACTACTACTACTACTACTACTACTACTACTACTACTACTACTACTACTACTACTACTACTACTACCACTACCACTACTACTACTACTACTACTACCATTACTATTACTGAATATGTAAATTAGCAGTTTAAAATGTTTTCTTTCTCCCTGCTGTCTTCGTGAACAAAATCCTTCACGAATTTTTCGCGTTCCATTTTTTTGTTCTTTGTTTGAATGCAGGTTGTCATGGAAACGTCGGGCACTGTCGCGCTCTCACCATTACCAGCGACGTCATCATCATCATCACCAGCCACATCACCATCATCATCACTACCATCACCATCGTCATCATCACAACCATCATCGTCATCATCACTAACACCATCATCGTCATCATCACCATCTGTGATGAGGTCTCCGATGTCACTTTCCATTACACCTCATAAATCAAAACTTGAACTATCATCATCATCATCGTCGTTATCATTATCATCATCGTCATCGTCGTCACCTTCATCATTATCACTACCATCATCATCTTCATTATTATCATCATCGTCTTCGTCGTCATCGCCTGAATGCCAAACGAAAAATAAATACCTCAGGCAAGCCTTCCTATGCAGACAACGTGAGTTGTAGATTGGTTGGTGGGAGAGAGAGAAGAATGATTGGATGCATGGATGAGTGAGTGAATGAATGAATGGATGAATGAATGAATGAATGGATGGATGGATGGATGGAAGGAATGTGTAAAGGAATGGAGGAATTGATCTATACGGCCATTCAGATAATAATGGGCAGTGTTGAAAGATATGCCAATATATTGATGACAAGCAAATTAAGATGGGTGAGAGTAGATGAATGATTGATTGAATAGGTGAGTGATTGAACGAATAAAATGACTAAATCTGGATGAATAAATGCATGAGGGAAAGAATGTTTGAACGTATGATTAAATGAAGGCTTGATTGAGTGGCGAGTTAACTAATAAAATTGATTGATACTATATAAATGAATGATTGAATGAATGAATGAATTAATTAATTAATTAATTAATTACTTAATTAATTAATTAATGATTGAATGTGTGAATGAAGTAAAAAATAAATGAATGGAAAGATAGATGGATGAATAAATGAATGAAAATTTAAAACATTAAAATAGTCCATTAAAAAATAAATACCCCGCAGATGATTTCAAGAAGAAAATTTTTTCTCACGACCGCCACCAAAAACATCATTACCAGCATCAGCAGCCTTCGCAGCAACAGCAGCCACAGCAACGACAGCCGCAGCAACAGCAGCAGCGACCACATCAGCCACAACAACATCATCATCATCAACGAGTCCACATGGAATGCTCCAGGTCAAGTCACATTTGGTTCTACATAGCCCAGCTGACTGTTGTCTATGGAAAAAAATCTAACAATAACAACAGCAACAACAACAACAGCAGCAACAAAAACAACAACAACAATAAGAATAATACTAATATGGATAATAATAATAATAATAATACTGATGATAATAATCCCAAATCGAATTTTAACAAAAGATTTCTTTCTGAAATGACAACATCTTCTATAACAACAATAACAGCAAACAATAACAACATCAATAACAACAACAACAAGCATGTTAATAATAATAAAAATAATAATAATAATAAAAACAGAAAAAAGAATAAGGGCATTAGGAAAATGGCTGGCGACAAAATGGAGAGCGGAAATAGCAACCCTAATATCGATAGCGAAAATGACGTCATCGATGATAACAAAAACAAAAATAACAATAATAACACTACTGGTAATAAAAACAATAATAATAATAACAATTTTTGTATCACAGAGGTTGTTTCTAGAGCCTGTTCAAAGAAGCATAAGTGTGTCATTAATGCAAATGACGTCATTGAAATGCTCGCCTCCCATTGGTTGACGTTTCAGCTTGACCTTATTTATACTTGTGGTAAGTTGGTGGGGTTTTTGTTGTAGGATTTTGATGTTTTTTAGTGTTGTTCGTTCGTTCGTTCATTCATTCATTTATTCAATCAATCAATCAATCAGTGGCGAAATCCTACAGTAACTTCGTACAGCAAGAACTGACCTCCAAACTTCCCAATCCTTGTTCATTTCCGCTTTCGCCCGGAAGTAACCAAAAACTAAAAATCGCAAGCACTCGAGATAATAACGAAGCGCTTCATAATGCTGATTTGAAAATTGTTAACGTTGGAAAGAAACATAATAATAATAATAATAGTAATAATAATAATAATATTAATATAAACAAAAATAATACTAATAAAAACAATAGTATTAATAAAAATAGCAATGACGTCATCGTCAATAACGGAAGTGATGATAATGATGATGACGGAAAGATGATAAACAATGAAAGCAGTAAAATGAATTTGAGGCTTGAAAAAACAACATCAACAACAAAAACAAACATTATCGGCCAGACAGCAATAGATACATTGATGTTGCATAAACTACAAAACAGTAAAAATGACAATATCAACAACAACAATAATAATAATAACAATAATAATAATAACAACAACAATAATAACAACAACAACAATAACAACAACAATAATAAGAACAACAATATTAATAATAATAACTATAACATTAATAATGATAATAATAATTATAATAATAACAATAATAATAACAATAATAATAATAATGAACGTTCGTCAGAATGGAAGGCCGCGATGAAATGGCATTAACATTCCACATTGACGTCGGAGAATTCGTTTGGATGTACCAACTGTTTCAGAGTAAGTGAATGAATGAATGAATGAAATAAAGAATAAATAAATGAACGAATGAATGAAATAAAGAATGAATAAATGAATGAATGAACGAATGAAGGAACTAATAAATTATCAAATAATTAGCTAACGTAAACAAACCAACCAGATCACAGAGAAAAAATTCTTCTCTATATACTCTTGGCAATCTCAACCGGCCTAGTCCTAACACTACTGGCCATCATCTGCAAATTATCAAATTCGGCACATCACTACTCGGCAGCAAATCCCTGCTACCATGGCAACAACAATCAGTTCGCCCTCGACAACGCAACCCCTCAGTGCGCTCTTCCTATTGGCTACTACAAAAGCGGAGGAAGTCGCCTATTGGGTAACAAAAGTGGGTCATATTACTTACACGAGAACGCTGCTGCCAGCGACAATGAAGGCCGAAGAAGAAAAGTTTCAAGTTACAAAAATAAAAATGTCGTGGAATATTGCAACATGGCAGCGATTAAAAAATCTTTTTCCGGTTACGGAATGGCGGGAATTTTCGCGAGGAAACCGCGAATGCGTTCCAACGACTGCGAACTGTTGGCCGCCAAAACTAACAACAACAGCAACAACAACAGCAACAGCAACGTCAGATGTAACAACGTCAATGATGACGTCATCGGAACTGACTCGGCGGTGCAGTTAACCGGTTATAATCGCATCGATACATTACGCCGGCCGGTCTGTCGGATCATCGTACCGGAAAATGTTATAGCATCTCTAAACAACAACAGCAGCAGCAGCAACAACAACAACAATAACAACAACAACGTATTGCAATGCCATCGTCATCCGGATGGGTCTATCTGTCACTTGGTTCAACCACTCGGTCAGGACGGATACGGGCAACAACATTTTGTTGTCCACCTAGGCAACAGCAGCAGCAACAACAACAACGATGTTGTTGGTTTCAACAATTTTAATGTTGACGTCGCTGCTAACAACAATCAACTTGTAGCATTGCAACAGCTGCAACAAATGAACAACAAAACCGGCCAGCTCAATAACAGTCAAATCATATTAACACACCAACAACTACAACAGCTGAATTTGCTGAACGCTCAACAACAACAACAACTTTCCCAACAGCCGATCATGTTGGCGCAACCACAACAGCCACAGCAGCAACAACCACAACAGCCACCGCAAACTTCACTACTTCTACAAGCAGGTACGCCAGCTTTTTGGCTACAACAGAAGAAGCAATCCCTCACGTTGCAACAACACACACATCACTACCATCATCATCATAACCATTCGCAACAACAACAACAACATTCATGTTGTTCATTGGAGAGTCCTTGTGTTGCAGATAACAACACACAACAACTGCAACAACAACAACTGCAGCAATTGCCAATTTTTTTGCAGCCACAGCAGTTACAACCACAAAATCTCTCGCCATCACCATGCCAACAACAACAAATTTCCCCTTGTTTGTCACCGCAAGTTACTTGCATTAATTGTCAACAATTATTGCAGCAGCAACAGCAGCAACAACAACTGCAGCTGCCACAACAACAACAGTTACATCAGCAACATCAATGCATTAAGGAAGAACGAAAGGCGTGCTTTCCTCAACAAATTGATCAACAAATTCACCAGCGACAACACGGCCAACAACATTTTACTCTTCAAAAACAACAAACATCGCAACAACAACAACAGCAGCAGAAAAAACAGCAACAACCAGCAACAACAACAACAGCGACAATACAATCAACCCAAAGACAAATATTGTTTGCAGAACAATACAAACTACCCTGCTGTTCAACAAACAACAACAACATCAACTCTAACAACAACTTTAATGGCAACAACAACAACAACAACATTAATCGCAACAGCAACGATGAAAATGACAGTTGCATTGATGTTGTTGCTAGCGATCGTAATAAATTTCAACAGTCCGTTGCCCACACCGCAGAGAAAAGCAGAAACACCAACAACCTCATTACCACAGATGTATGTGAGAAACAACAACAAAATGTTGAACAGCAGCTACAACAACAACAAAATGTTGAGCAACGGCTACAACAAAATTTTGAGCAACAACGCCAGCAACATCAACAATTGTTCGACCTAATTCAACTGAACTCCCCGTCAAAGCTAAAAAAACAGAGTCGGTCGCCACAACGTGTCTATGAACAACAGCAACAACATCATCATCATCATCAACAACATCAACAACAACAATATCAACAACAACCACAGCCCAAACTGGAACACAAGTCCTTAGATTTATTAAACAACAACAACAGCAGCAACAACAACAACGATGATGACAACATGCTAAACACAGCTACGTACAACAACCTGCCAAAACTACACAACAACATCAACAGCAACATCAACAACAACAACAACAACTTTAACAACAACATCGACAACAACATCAACAGCAACACATTACAACGACAACACTTCTTGTCTCAGGCGCACATAAACCAACAACAACACAACGATCTTCCAAACGTTGAATACAATTCTCCGCGAAAATGCAGCAGCGTTGCAGACGTTCTTAAACCAGACAACGACGACAATGACACCAGTAACACGAACAAAGACATCAACCGCCAACAAAACAACATCAACAACATCAACAAAAAAAACGTAGACAACAACAACAGCAACATAGATACAAAATACTTCACCATATCTCGCCTGCAAATGGCCGCGGACAAATGCCGGATGTGCGAACTTCAACTTAAGGATGTCAGTTATCCCAATCCTTCTTTTCCTCCTCCATCTCCTCCTCATCTTTCTCATCCTCTTCCTCACCATCTCCCTCACCATCTCCCTCACCATGATAGTAGTTATCATCAACATAGGCACCACCACCACCAGAATGACGCCGCGTTTGAGAGTCGCTACGCTACGCTCCAAGGCTTCAGAAAGAAAAATTGTTGAGAAAATTTTAAATTCATTGAATCATTGAATTTTAAATTGGATAAATTTTTATATTTTATTTTTTTAATAAAGTTTAAGTGCTATAGTTCAATTTCTGTACTATATATATATATATATATAATTTGGTGTAATATATAACCTATATATATTGCAGGCATTGTTCAGTTTGCAATTGAGTTTTTCAATTTTTCTTACCACTAATTTCAGTTCATTATCAAATTTGTTCAGTTCACAAACAAAATTTTTATTCATTTTTATTGAATTATTGTACCTGATAACATTAAAAGTTTTTAAATTTTTTTTATTAATAAATACGAATTAATAAAATAATAATTTTAACTTTAGCTATCAACACTTTTGACGACTGTGTTAATTTTTTTTGATTTAGAACGTACGTATATATTTTTATACGCACATAAGCATGTATATATTTTGAAGTTTTCTATAAAGAGCTAATATAAAGTTAGTAATCAAATTTTTCGATAAATTTTTCAACCAAAAATTATTTGTATGTGAGTGTAGCATTCCATGGTTACTCTATGGTTCTGGGGTTGAAATTATAATGAAGCGCAAGACTATTTAAATGAATCGAGTGCATGCATTCCATGTCGGTTCTCTGATCGCATATCAGTTTCCGTTTATCGCTAGTTCGCTCAAGATGTCGGACGCACATTTTTTCAAAGTGAGTCTCTTTCGTATTCAACATTTCAAATATATTTTGTGTTTATGATTATAATTGTGAATATTTTTGTGAAGATTTTAAACTTAGAACGTTATTTTTTTCAAAAAGGCTTCTTGATTTCGGCGTCGTAAACGTAAATAAATTTATAACTGAATAAGTAACCGTCGCACGTTTCCTAGCAAAGTTCTCTTCGAACCACGTACGCGTGAAATAAAATACTCGTAACAGTATTTATTTTAAGAAATTTGATAGATTCATAATTTGAAAATTTTTAAACCTCTTCTAGGGCACCTCAACTGATCAGGACACCAGGTTTGCTGACAAAAAGAAGAAACTCATGAAGACCATGAAGTTTGCTGATAACTTGGATAAGAAGGTGATTGCCTCCATTTTAATTTTATGCAAATCATTTTTTTCAATAGAATCTATCTTGGATTTGTATTTTATATTTATTTTTATTCTAAATTCATTTATTAATGAATCATAGTACTATTTGTTGTAGAATTACAAAAAGTATTATAGTATACATATTATATTATAAGAAGTATTAAATATTCTTACAAGAAGATAGAGATAATCCTAACATTTTACTCTATAGGTTGACATGACAAAAGTTAATTTGGACACATTGAAACCATGGATAACGAACAAAATAACTCAACTGCTGACCATCGAGGACGATGTCGTCACTGAATTTGTTTTCAACCAATTAGAAGAAAGGGTGAGTTGGTCTCTTTAATCATGACACAGAACTAAATTTAAACTGGGATGAAATTGTGGATGTTTGTTGTGGTTTTATGTTATTGCTATGTAATGTGGTCATTGAAATTAATTATTGTTAATTGTATCTATAAAGGCTTTTATTCATTGATGAGTTAGTCTCAGGAGAACCACACAAGTATACGTATAAGCATTTTTCATCGTCTAAAAAATGTCTAGTATACCCAGGTTTTTCCTTATGATTTTTTCTACTGAGAGACTCCTAACCATATATTGTAATAGTTTGGGAGTGGCCAAAGCTCAAACTCTGCACTTTTTTCCAATGTATGATTTTTTGAGTGCCAAAATTTATGATAACACTAATCTATTCTTAAGATGGTGATCATTAAATAATTGGATAATTAATTATACCAGAAACAACCGAATGGCAAGGACATGCAGATCAACCTGACGGGTTTCCTGAATGCCAAGAACGCTCGCCTCTTCATGGAGGAGCTGTGGCAACTGCTGTTGAGTGCAATGGAAACCAGTGGTGGCATTCCAGCACCATTCCTTGAGAGCAAGAAAGAGGAAATTCGAAAAAGACAGGTGACTTATATGTGTGTCCAAGTGAATGCATGACATCATTTTTGTTTGTCTCTTTATTTCTCTTTGTGTTTGTGTGCGTGTGCGTGTGTGCGCGTCTAAATTGGCTTGGAATGTATTTCAATATATCTGTTCTTGGATGTTTATTCATTTGTTTTATCACTTTCGTGTGTATAGTGCGATATGTGTGTATATACATTTGCCTTTTTTATGATATCTATTTGATAAATTATTTTTTCATATTTATCATCGTTCATGTCATTGTTGTCATTTTTAATTTTTTAAAATTATTTTAATCACTATTTCATAAGATCAAATTAAGATTAGGCCATTTCTTAAAAAAATAAACTACATTAACCGTTTCTCACGGACATCCCTGGTAAATTTTCTCTCTTTGAAGTTGTTGAGTACAATGGCTATTTATATTCTACCCTGAACAGATGGAGGAGGCCAAGTTAGGGAAATCTAACCTGATGGGGTCTGGAGACGCTGCTGCTACTACTGCTGCTGCTGCTGCTGCTACTACTACTCAAAATGAAACGTTAGCGTACTTGGTATTTTTGTTTTTTTTTTAATAATATTTTTTACAAAAATAAGGATATTAAGACAGTGGGTGTTTGTTAAGTTTGATTTTTTTCCTTTTAAATTGTGCTATCTCTCAAACAGTTGATGCTGTTAATGATTATAAATGCTACATGGTACTATATTATTTATTAATATACTGCTATATTATTGAAATTGTCATAGATAATTGTTAGGTAGCAGAAATTTTTGTAATCGGGAGTTATCGACAATAGTTTTTCTCTAAAAATCTGTAACAGCTCTAAAACGGACAGAAATGGTGACAAGTTAAGGAAGAGAAAGTCGAAATCTGTATCACCTGGCAGAAAAGAAAGGTTAATAATAGTAATAAACTTACCATTTTGTGCTAGTGTTACTAATAATGTGTTACTAAGTTGTTAAAATTACTAAAATAAACATCTGTTGGTTATGTGGTCATGTTTTAATAGCACTTTTAATATATAGCCAATATATAGTCAGAATATTTGTTTTAATTCTTTGTAACATTGTAGAGGCATATATATGACAAATTTATTGCTCTCAACATGCAGCAGTAACAAAGGTCCAAGTGACGATGCGAACGCGTCGAACACCAACATCCAACTACCGTCATCAACTTTGCCGTCGGTTTTCAAAAAACCGCTCTTAGATGATTATAGAGTAGACCAACAGAAGGATGAAACTGCAGGTTCACTGCTTCTTGCTGCAGATAAAGATGAAGATAAAGTTAACAGTGCTATCTCTAGGGTTACCGATGGTACTGATGATAGCACAAAAATTGGTGATGACCAGATGGTAAAAAATGATATCGAAAGCAAAACGAAAGACAGTCCAGAAAAAAGACATTCCAGATCCTCGTCGCCATCGTCGTCACCACGCAAACGGTCAACTAGTCACAAAAGAAAACGTAGTTCGTCCTCAAGACCAGCTGGTCGAAAATCTGCGTCGCCCAGAAGGTCACTAAGACGAAGGTCAAGGTCTAGATCTCGTAGGAAGAGATCCAGGTCTGCTAGAAAAAGATCCAGGTCTCCCAGGAGAAGATCTAGGTCACCCAGGAGAAAATCTAGATCGTCAAGAAGGAAATCTAGGTCACCACGAAGGAGATCTGGGTCACCTAGGAAGAGAGTATCATCTAGAAATAGAAGAACCTCAAGGTCACAGTCGTCTGGGAGATCTTCACATGTTAGATCAAGATCTCCAAAAACGAGACCTGCAGCTAGAAGGTCCAGGTCACCTAGAATGAGATCCAGGTCACCTAGAATGAGGTCAAGATCACCAAGAATGAGGTCAAGATCACCAAGAATGAGGTCAAGATCACCAAGAATGAGGTCAAGATCACCAAGAATGAGGTCAAGATCACCAAGAATGAGGTCAAGATCACCAAGAATGAGGTCAAGATCACCAAGAATGAGGATGGGTAGAAGGTCTAGATCACCCAGGGATTCGTTTAGGAGGTCAGGAGTTTGCATCTTGTCTGTAATTGTTTCTCAATTAAGCGATTTTTTAATTTACAATTTTCCTTCTAGTACTTGTGCATACTTGGGTCACTGGTTTCAGCTAAAAAACTGGTCATTGTGTTTACTGTTGGTGTTGAAGTTATAAATTTTGATATTAAATACATTAGATTCTCACCGCCATGGAGAGGACCGTCCTCGTCAATGAGGCGGAGAATGTCAAGGTCACCGATGAGAAGTTCAAGGTCGCAATCGAGGTCAGGCAGGAGGAGGATGAGAATGGATGCAATGAAACCATCTGCGTCTCCTGTCCATGCTAGGTGATGGCGGCGATATGATTTATTATCATTGTTATTATAATTGTTATTACTGACATCAAAATAAAATTGAGACGTTACTTCATTTGCATTTACTTCTGCGTACCATTTCATTTTTCTTTGTTCATTCACAACAAATATATTCATTCATTATGTTACATTATTTGCTGTTCAGTTTTTTTGTTACTATTTCCAAACCTACAAATTCTAAAACTCACAAACCACACCCATAAATTAGATCCCCGAGGAAATTTGGACAATCTCCACCCCCTCACCAGAAATTTGGGAGGTCTTCCTCACCAGACCAGCACCATCGGAGGAGTCAGCAGCAGATGATAATGAAGGGAGAACGAAAAGGAGGTAAAGATGACGTCGACGACAGCCACAATGATGCCATGGAAGGCGATTCATCGAAAGAGAGGAGGAAGTTGGCTGAGAAGATGAGTATGAGGAAGAAGAAGAAGAGAGATGATGATGAAGCTAAGAGGTGTGGAGAATTTTGAGGGTTTTTTCTTAATTTTTGTATGTTTTATTTATTTTGTCTCAGTTCTCTTCTACATTTTTATGTTAATTTCTATTTGCTGTTGAAATTTTATAGCTCGTTTTTATTACCAGACCTAGTTTCTTATTACTCAAATTATCTAGCCATTATTTAAGTATTTGTGATTATTACAGTCAGCCAGTCACCTCATGATGTTAAATTAATGATTGATAAACATGATATCCAAACAATTTTCACTCTAATTTTTTACTGAAGGTGGTGAATTAGGCAGTTTATTTTTACATGTAGTAATTATACTTGCTTGGTTGGCCAGTCAATTTATGTATGCCAGTACAATACAATACTGTTTTTACTTAATGCTACTTGTTAATAGCTTTGCTTTGAGCTAGTTAGTCATCTGTGCTAGCAATCCATCAACTAGTAAGTAATGTGTTAACCAACCTATCACGTGTGGTACTATGATTGCATGCTTTTGTGGTTTTTTTTAAAGATGAATTTGATTTGATTTGATGTAATTTGAAATAAGATAGAGAGTATTAGATTAAATTAAATTAAATTAGATAGAAAAATATGAAAAAATTTGTTGTCACATTTTAACTGCAGGTCAGCCTCGTCATCGTCTTCCTCTTCCTCACCACCTCTGGCTAAAAAGGTATGAGTAGGAGTTTATTTATAAACTTTATGTGTTTGTGTGTGTAAGTGACAATTTTAGTAATTTTGAAGGAATAAAATAGTTAGAAAAATGTACTAAACTTTACAGGCAGAAATTCGTTGTACATTTTATTTATCGTTGAAATTATCTAAATTTCCAGAAGCCACCACCTTCTTCGAGATCTTCATCCTCTTCATCCAGTGCACAGTCATCTACATCATCATCGAGTCCTCCACCCAAGTCCAAAGCCAAAAGTGAAATTATTATTATTTCTATTTTTTGTGTTATTATTTTTTTTAGTTATTTTTGATTTCATATTGCTGGTTTAATTTGTTTTTTGTTTTAAATATTGAATATTCATTGTTGGTAAAATGTTTTTTTATTTGAGATTGTATCTATTTTTTGTCTGTTCATCTATCTATCTATCTGTCTGTCTTTCTGTCTGTTTGTCATGCACAGCCTGAAGATGACAAATACCCAATATCTTGATACGTGATACATGATATTCACAATCTTTCACTCTAATTTTTTACTGAAGGCTGTGCACTTTCATAATTTTAATAATTTAATATTACTGGTTTAATTAGTTTATATTTTAATTATTGAATATTCATTTTTGATAAAATGTTTTTCTATTTGAGGTTATATCTATTTTTGTTTGTCTGTCTGTCTGTCTGTTTATCTATCTATCTATCCATTCATCCATCCATCTATCTATCTATCTATCTATATCTATCTGTCATGCACAGCCTGATGATGACAAATACCCAATATCTTGATACATGGTACATGATATTCACAATCTTTCACTCTAATTTTTTACTGAAGGCTGTGCACTTTCATAATTTTAATAATTTAATGATGGTAACATTCAGAAAATAATTATTTTACAGTGAAGGCGCTTTTTGTCCGCTAAATTTTGTCATTTTTTTCTAGTTCTGTCTGTCTGTCTGTCTGTTGGTGATTACTGCTCGATTGTTAACAATATACTTTTAAAATTCCCAAGTAGGTCACCAACGCGAGTTAGCTGTCCAGCAGCAAGACCATTCGTCGACGAAATCTTCAAAGAAACCCCAACAGCAGCGTGATGCAGATGTGAAGAAACAGCACGCGGAAGAAAAGATAAAAAGAGATGGTAAGCAGAAGAAGAGAGCGAAGGAAGATAGTGTTAGTGACGGAGAGGAGGGGGAGGATGATCGTGGAAAGGTATCAAGGATTGCCCAGAAGCGACACAAAGTTGCCGAAAGTGATGACGAGAGAAGAAACGTCAAATCCAGTGACGGCAAAAAGATGCAAAAACCAAAGGCAAAGCGCCATCAATCCAGCGAACATGAGGATAGCGACAAGGAGGAGATGATGAGACGAAAATTAGAGCAGCAGCAGAAGCAATCAAAACCAAAACACAGACATCACAGCAGTGAGGAAGATGATGATATTCCTCCTACTGAAAAACCCAAGCAAAAGCTAACCTCGAGGTCAGACAAAAACATATCACCACCAGCAAGTAGCAACAAAAGGACTAAGGACGACGACGACTCCTTTGTGGATAGGCACAAACGTAAGCCATCCTCTAAACATGGAAATGATAATCGCAACAGGGATGATTACAGTCAGTACCGTGAAGATGAAAATGAGAGAAAGAGGTTGAGCCACAAGAGGAGTAGACACCAGCAGCAGCAATCGTCGCCACCCATAGCCAGAAAAGTGGCGATCGTACCTCCACTTACCAAAAATGGTGAAGATGAGGAGGAAGAGGATGTCAGACGAAAGGTCGTCAGTAGGCCGACCGTTAAGCATAGTAAAAGTGATAAAAGGGAGAAAGTTGGCAGCAGTAAAAAGATGAAGAGAAGGTCGTCGTCGTCCTCATCGGATGAATCATCATCTTCATCGTCAACGTCGCCTCCCCCTCAGTCTAAAAAGCATTTGAAACGTAGGAAAAGACCGAAAGATAGCGATGATGAAAGTGATGATGACGGAAAAATTGAAAGGAAAGTCGTCAAGAGGAAGAGGAAGAAAGAGAGCAGCGATGAAGATGACAGTGATGTGGAGGTATGTGTATAAGTTTTTATCGATGGAAAGTGATGATGGCAGAGGAATTGAAAGGAAATTATAACCATATTACGCAGCTTGTTATATTATAATTTGTTATTTGGATTGGATAGTTAAATATTTTTAGTTTAAAACGCGTTTTTTCTTTTTTGGCAGAATGTCTCGTCGAAAAAGAAAAAGAAAGAAAAACTCAGCAGAAAGCAAAAAAAACATCACAAGCATAAGAAAAATAAGAGAAGGGATGATGACGACGACGATGATGAGGATGCAAGCTCCGGTGATGATAACGATAGTGATGATGATGAAGATGATAAGAAACGAAAAGAGGTCAGCTCTCTCAAATATATCATCTTTGCTGTGATGACAACGTTTAAATTATTGTCTAGTTTTTTGTTGTTTTTTGTATTTAAGTGATATTAAAATTAAATAAACATATTTCTTTTCACAGAAATTCGAAAAGCAAAGGCTTTTGGACTTGGAAAAAGAGTTGAGAGAGAAAGCGCTAAGGTCCTTGCAGGATGCCAAATCATCCAAAAAACGAAATTAATTTATTTGTAAATTTTTTTATTCATTTATTCAATTTATTTATTATTATCATCGGCATTGCTGATATATAAAACTAGTAATGCAAAATTATAAAATTGATGACAGTTCACTTCATACGATTTGTGTATGACCATCTTTTCCTTGTTTTAAAGACTGAGTGTATGTCTGGCTACGTTTGTAAGTAAATGTCTTAAGCACGCGCGTATGTATGTATGCTGCTAATTTGGTTGTTATTTTTTAAGATTAAAGATTATCTAAATTAGTCTTTCTTTTTTTTTTGTTGGTTATTCGTTTATTTATTTCATTCTTAATGTAAAATTTTCGTCGAATATACATATAGGATATAGCATGTTGTATTCTATATATCGGGTAATTTAAGTAGTACTTCGAGATAGTAACACCCCAATGATTACCAACCTGGGGTTATTTCATTTATTATTTTATTGCGCATAATTCACAACGCGTGGTCATTCGTATTTGATTGTGTAAAAATGTAAAGATTTGCCATCTTAAAGATAGAATCTGATGAATAGTCTACAAGGTAAGTACTAGGCGGAATTGGATATTTCAGTGTTTCGTCTGAGAAGTTACACACAAAGTGTAAATATTTTGATGGAAAAAGTGTCCAATAACTGCCAAAAGTCGCCAAATTTTATAGAAGGTGATTCCAGCGCTGGAAATGATTGTTAAAAGTTGTAATAATTACTGCTTTCGTTAAATATTGTTAAGGATTGCCGCATTTTTGTTACCCTAGGGATCCACACCTGTAAATCCGGCCCTCGTTGTATGGTATGGTATTGTGTGGTATGGTATGGTTTATATATACCCAATATATAACCAAAAGTTTTGTCGTTTTTACCAATTTGTACCGTTTCAAATCGTGATTGCTTATCATTTTAGAATGGTTTAATTATTTTGAATCTTATCAATTCGATGTTGTTTTGGCGTATTTATTTATTTATTTTCATAAAAGTTTGCGTGAAAAACAAGAGCAATGGCTTTATTTACCTTTTGGAAGAGGAAATCTAGAGTCTATCCATTGACAAGAAGACCGAGGCCTTCGACGACAGTTTGAAAATTTTTTTTCAGTTCTAAGTCACTTTAATTTTGCTTCACTTTCTTCCAACGTGATTCTATTCAAGTGTTAAAACGTTTAAAAAAGGCGAGTGATGAAATATAAGATCGGAGTCGGAGCGGGTTTTTAATTGTAATTGTAATCTCTATCAACATTTGTGTCAGTATCATTTGGTAGAACCATTCAAGTGTACTTCTAACAAGTTTGGCTTGATGATAATACCAAACACAGTTAATATTACTCTAGTCTACTCTAATGAAACGAAACAAAATTTGATTTGCTTCTCAAAATTGAAAATTAAAAGAAAGCAGTAGTAATGTAGTATTATCATAACAACCCATTTAATTCTAAGAGTATTCAGGCATAACAAAAGAAATTTATTAACAAATTAAATTAATTGATTAAATTAAATAAAAATAGGAAGGGAATGTTAACGAGTCGGCAAAGTACGAAATTCGAATTGATACGGCAGCCGGCTGTATGTTCGCCACATGCGTCGCCGGTTTTACGTTGGTATTAGTCGGTTTCATAACCAATTCCTGGCACAACTCTGGCCCGTCATTCAGTGGAATTTGGATGGCCTGCCAGTTCGATCCGTCGGACATTTCTCAATGTAAGGAAAGGGCAAGTTTTTTGATTCTTTGGTTTTTCAAAGAAATATATTAGTAATAAATACTTTTGAATTACCTAGCTGTTTTTTTTTATAAAATTAATCACAATGTAACTTGAAATTTTTGAAAGGGCAAATGGACCTAATAAGAGGGGTATTTATAATGGCGATGGTGGCCTACGTGTTCGCCCTGGTATTCCTCTTCCTCTACTTCTTCACTGAACCTGAATACGTTACTCCCAAAGCTCTGGTCATAGGCTACTTGGTCTCCATGATATTGTTTGGTAACTATTTCTATTTGTGAGTGTGTGAGTGCGTGTGTGTGTGTCTTTTTTTGAAGTTTTGATTTATTTTCCAACAGTTGTGCTGGCGGTTATCGGTGCCTCGATGTTTGGTGGAATCGTCAAACTGAACATGAGCTGGTCTTTCGGTTTCGAGGTCATAGCAACCTTTCTGGGGTTCGTCTGCATCATCCTCACCATCATACTCCTCTATGATTTTGAAGAATATTTTTGATTTGATCATATAATAATAATAATTATTATTATCATAATTTATGTTAATTTATTGATAATATGCACATACAATCGTGTACAAAAACTGGTAGGTAGATTGATTGATATAATCGACTCGTTTTTTGGTCTGATCGATGTATTGATTGATCGAGTGACTGATTGGTTTGAATGGATTGATTGATAGATAGATTGATAGATAAATTCATTGATTGGTTAACTGATTGATGATTGATAGATTTTATTGGTTTGATTGAACCATTGATTTGACTAAATAGTCAATCATTTGACTATCTATGCGTCATACTGCTATTAAATTGACGCTACATTCCAGTATTTACTCACTCATTGTCTGATTTGTTTTTGTTTTGATGGAAAAACGTGTTTTTTTTTAAATTTGAAATATTTTTTGTTTATTTTTTGATAAATTGAAGATGAAATTTCGTAATTTTACTCCGAAAAGTTTGGTTAGTTGGTTTTAATCAGTGTTTATTATTATTATTTTATTATTATTATTTATTATTATTATTACTGTTTTTTCTCCATTTTTACTAATTGTAAACCCTGAGCTCAAATTTAACGAAATTTATATTTTTAAAATCCGAAAACTAATTTTATCAATAACGAATGAACGAACAAATGAACGAACAAACAAACCAAACAAACAAACACACGAACGTAACCCAGAAAAATAAAAATAAGTCAAACGTGGAGGACATATCCCTGCTATCCGTGGCGGGCTGGATACTCTGGCTATCCGTCTTTGGATTCTTGTTCTATCTCATTGGGAATCTCACGGTTTACTGGCACTTCAAAGGGGATTCCTGGATAGGACTCTATAGTTCATGTCGGGTTTTTCCGAGTATGTTGTTGAACTATTTTAGTACATGTGTGTGTGGAATTAATAATAAGTTTGTTTTAATGTGCAGTGAACATACTTTTTTTTCATCTGTACCCTCAAAAATGTACAAATTTTAAATGTTGAGTGAACTATTAGTGAAGAGCGAATCCCAGTGTATGGTTTGTATGAATTAAAATAACACACAATGTATTTTACAGTTTTACTATGTACATACGGTGTAAATACGTTTGTATATGTGTGTATTATACAAGAAATTGTGTATTTATTTGTATTCATACATCCAAAAGGTGTATACTTTTGTATATGTGTGTATTATACAAGAAATTTTGTATTTATTTGTATTCATACATCCAAAGGTTGTATACTTTTGTATATGTGTGTATTATACAAGAAATTTTGTATTTATTTGTTTTCATACATCCATAAGGTGTTATGGATTGGGACAATGTCACAGCCACTACTGGTATAGACGCGGAGCTGCAAATGTTTAGCAAACGTGCGTATTAAAAATTATCAATAAAAATAAATTTTTTATATGATAATAATAATATTATAATATAATAATAATAATAATAATAATATTCTTATAATATAATAATAATAATTTACAAAATCTACAATATTTTATTGAATGTTTGCAGAGTCTATTTGCAATACTTAACTGTTATTATTAGGTAGTGGGTGGAGATGATATCAAAAGATATATCCTATATATCAAAATATGTATCCGGTATATCAAAATATGTATCCTATATATCAAAATATATATCCTATATACCAAAATGTATATCCTATATATCAAAATATATATTCAATATATCAAATATATATCTTATATATCAAAAGATATATCCTATATATCAAAATATGTATCCGGTATATCAAAATATGTATCCTATATATCAAAATATATATCCTATATATCAAAATGTATATCCTATATATCAAAATATATATTCAATATATCAAATATATATCTTATATATCAAAATATATATCCAATATATCGAAATAAATGTCCAATTTGTCAGAGTGTTTCATACATAATAAAATATACACCCATTAGATTAAAAAGTTCAAAACATATCCTATATATCAAAATATATCTAATACATAAAAATATACACCCAGTATATCAAAATATATTTAATACATGAAAATATACGCCCAATATATCAAAATATATCTAATATATCGAAATATACACCCAATATATCAAAATGTATCTAATATATCCCAATTTTCCAGCATCTCTATCGGCCATCCAAGGTATCATGATAGCGGCCTTCGTAATCTACATTATAATGCTACTGATCATGATCACACATATGTACATCGTCATCGACTCTTATCAGCCCATCCCTGTCATGTTTGTTTACATCATTGCGAGTTTTTTCACGGGTTAGTTAGAGTAAGAATGAAATCTACTACGAATGATAATAAATACTACGAATGATGATAAGTAATGGTAATGTTAATGGTTGTAGTGCTGATACAGATGCCGCTACTACTTCTGCTGCTGTTGTGGCTACTACTTCTGCTGTTGTTGTGGCTACTACTTCTGCTGCTGTTGTGGCTACTACTTCTGCTGCTGTAATAATAATGAAATAAAATAAAATATAATAAAAATAATATAATATATATAATATAAATATATAATATAACATAAAATATAATAAATAAAATAACAATAATAACATTAATTAATTATAGTTAGTAATTTAAATGTAATATTTGCGATAAAATATAATAAATAAAATAACAATAATAATAACATTAATTAATTATAATTAGTAATTTAAATGTAATAATTGCGACAGCAATCTTGCTGACGGCTGCTTTGATAACGTACGGTGTGGTCGTTAAGAGGAATTTCAGCTTCTCTTACGGGCTTGTTGTGATTGGCGCCTTCTTGGCATTCCTTTCCGGCGGGATGTCCATACTTCATATGAAGATTTTGTATTGAATGGATGGATGGATGAATGGATGGATGGATGAGGGAATGAATGGATGGATGGATGAGGGAGTGAATGAATGAGTGTGTGTGTGTGTGTGAGTGAATGAATGGATGGATGGATGAGGGAATGAATGAATGAGTGAGTGTGTGTGAGTGAGTGAGCGAATGAATGGATGGATGAATGAATGAATGGATTACGGATGAATGAATGAATGGACGAAGGAACAAACGAACTAAAGAAAGCGCAAACGAACGAACGATTTTTCTACCTTGTTTGTTAATTGTTTCATTTTTTAATTCTTTTCCTCTTTATATTTCATATTTCATATTTCTTAATTCAAATTTAATTTTTTCTTAAAAATATCGTCAGTACGCAGAGACTTATAACAAAAATATCGATATAGAGCAGGGGTGGGCAAACTAATGAATGAATGAATGGGCCCGAGAAGCTATTTTATGCGGCCCGCTAAGCCTTGTTCGCCAAAAAAGGTCGTCAACCAGACATTATGACCAAAAAAGGAGCCACAAATCTTAAAAAATTCTCCCCCGGGTCGAAAAATTTGCTATTTAAGTACATGTGCTGCCCTTCAAAGGTAAAATAGTTCTCAATGCGGCCCTCACGGCTGCCCACCCCGGATATAGAGTAATGCATTCTTACATGATTTTGTTTAAAAACTCACATTATTGCGAGAGGAAAGAGAGAAAAAAAAGAAAAAAAACAACAACAAAATAGAGAAAGAGAGGGGGAAAGAGAAACAAACGACAGAGAATAGATACAAAATGACGAAACATTAGACGTTTATAACATTTCTCATTAAATAGTTTTAACGACTTGAGTCCAATAATTTTTGAATATTGTAACTGGTGGATTCAAACTGGTGGATTGATTTTTGCTGTTGACGTAACGGTCGCTGCTACCTTAGCAACCACCGACAAACTGTAGTTCTCCAGCTAGAAGGATGATAAAATTTTCGCCCACTGCATTTTCACTGGCTTTATCTAGGTATGTATGTTTGTGTATCTGCTTGTTTGTGATGTGTGTGTGTGTAGTAGATGTGTGTGTGTAGTAGATATGTGTGAGTGTGTTTGTGGGTGTGTGTACCTCGCTGAACCAGCACTAGTTCTGCGAACGATATCTTAGGGAAATTGATGGCAATGATGATAAGAGGATGCAGAGATAACGTTGGTGAAGTTAAGATAGTAAATTGGTGATGATTCTTCCACACTGGTGGATTTCTGCTATTGACCGGTGGCCGACATCTTTGCGATCATCGACAAACTGTAATGCATTTTTATTTCGTAACAAAATTTTGCCGGGTTCAAACGCAAGCAGATCCTCGGATATTAAACGTAAATGATTTTTTTAACATGCTAATAAAAGCATCCCACTCATTGCCTTGCATGTGATTAGCGGAGATCTCTTAGCATTCGAAACCGACCACCGCAAAAGTAATGCCAGGCACTTTAACTATTACATAATCACAAATCTACATTCCGTCAGTACATTTTCAGATATATTTACCCCAAACACCATCTTAGCTTACGTGAAAATTCCTGGAGGGTGTTAAATATGGTATAGTAGTAGAAGAGGAAGATTACCACGGCTAAAATAGGTGACAAAATTCCAGCCCACCATTCGTTTACTGGCTGTGTCTGTGTGTTTCATTGTTTGTTTGTTTGTCTGTGTGTGCGTGCGTGTGTGCATGTGTGTTTACCTCGTTGAAGACAGGTTCGGCGAACGATATCCTAAACAAATTTTGATAATGATGATAATAAGAGGATGACGATGACGATGATGGTCTTAGTGAAGTTGAGATAGTTAAAGTGGTGGAGATCCTGATGATGATGGTGGTGATGATGATGAGAATAATGTTGGTAATGGTGATGATGATTAGGATGAATTCTTTCTATACTTACATGTCTGGCTGTATATATATATATATATATATATATATATATATATATATAGTTATTCTTATTTTGTTTGGAAACAAGAAATATTATTTTATTATTAATTTATTATTGTTACTATAATTTTAATAACTATTATTGTGATATGGATGACGTTTATATTATTTGGACGTGTTCTTATATTTACATTCAAATCATATTCGTCAAAACCTCTATAATTCACACACACGCACACAGACACGTTAAAAATTAATTAAGCCTTTCAATACTTAAGTCTACCTTTAGTTTACTCACCTGCGTCATTCTCACCTTTATTGGCTTTAAAATCAACAAACAAAGCAGTGCTTCGTTCGTCTTCACGTTTATTTTAATTTTTTTTCGTCAATTTTGGCTTCGAATAAGCATTTATTTTAAGGTTTAAATTTTTTTCTTGCGTGAACCATCTGTTAAAAAATATTTAATTGGAATTGTTATTTTAAATTTCAAATATCCGATCGTCTCAATTTTTTTTTTTCTTAAGAATTTATCTTATCTTATTTAATTTTAATTTAATTTTAAGAAGAGTTTTTTGATTTGATCGTACCCAGTCTACCACACAAACTTTGAAAGTTTGCACGTGCCTGACGTGGTAGTCCCGTCCTTCAAAATTCAGTCAAAATGAGTAGCAGAAACGGCCCTAAAAGCGCACGTTCCACAAAAAACAGACAGCCGGAGGAGACCAACATCACCGTCACCACCAACAATACAAAAAACAACGTAGACAAAAACAACCACGACGACGACGGCGATGACGACGACACAGATGATTTCCTCCACTGTCCGTGTTGTCAGAATGAATACAACCAGCCGAAAATGCTGCCTTGCCTACACAGTTTCTGCTACGAATGCCTCGAATCGAACCTTACTCAAAACGGGATAGGGCCTGGAGAGGCATTTTTGTGCCCCATCTGTAAGACGCAGTGTGTGGTCCCGGCACGCGGTGTGCGAGCCATGAAGAGCAATATTTTCCTTGTAACCCTTCAAGAATTCTTCCATAGCAAGACGTTAGACCCGGAAACTGAATGTGAGGCTTGTGATAGTGGCAGGGCTGCCAGGAAGAAGTGCATCGAGTGTTCTGATTGGCTGTGTAATCAGTGCTGTGCTATGCATTTGAAGGTTGCTTTTTGTTAATGTTTCATCAAAATCTTTTTTTATTAGTATGATCACAAGAGAGGAATGAATTTTGAACATTTTTTAAATTCATCACATCAAAAAAAAGGTAAAAATGACAAAAGACCACCACCTGGTCAGTCCGTCCGAATTAGAAAGTGGTCAGTACGATCAGCTGATCAAGGAGAGTTTTGAACCACTGCTCTGCAGCAAACACAACGAACCCCTTAAACTATATTGTCGTGACCTTTCTTGCCAAGCCCCCATATGTACGGTCTGCAAAACGACCCCGGCCCATGAACAACATGATGCCATTGAACTCACCGAGCAGGCCAAACAAGAAGCCGGCTACATCAAGTTGGTGCATTAAAAGTATTAAATGTAACACTGTTAAATTCATAAATATTTAAATAATATTATTGATTTATATATTTTTTTTTGTAATTTAAACAAATAAAACCTCAAACGTAGAATCACTTTCAAGATGTATTTGTAGTTTTGTGAAGATGATTTTACTACGACCAATTTTTATTTTATCACATTATAATAATAATAATAAATATTATAATTAATAATTACATATAATTAACACTACAATAAAAATAAAATATAAAAATCTCAATCTCCGCCTTGTAAGATCCCTAATGCCAGCTACCAGGGCATTCATAACGACCACAGCTGAGAAAATAACCACACTAGAAATTGAAGAAAAATCAACCATACAGATAAGGAAGAAGTTGCACAAGGCCATTAATGACAGAACTCAAGAAGTTAACATTTAATTTAATTTTATTTCTTATAAAGTTTTTTTAAGCATTTCTCAGACGTAACAACAAGCGCGGGATTTTTTTTTGCATTTGAACACGGTCACTGCAGCGTCTGTGTCAGGCACCATCACCATTATACTGTTGCGCCGTCAATTTATTTGTATATTTACTACATTTTGTTTGAAACCCTTATTTTATTTGACTTTTGTTAGGCAAATTTACTTGTATATGTAATCTAGTTGATCGGATATTTTAAACCGATTTTACGGACATTGTTTCAAATAAACTTTAAAGTCGCTATTGTAAAATGATTGCAGAATGAAATTATATAATTTAAATTTTTAAAACATCAACTTCAAACCTATCCTCTCCCCGCAAAAATTGCTCGCACGAAGGTCGTAGAAAGAGTCGTCAGAAGGATTCAGCACTACGCCGAGAGTGTTCTGCTGAAAGTTGAAGAAATGTCGAAAGAACATCGGAAAGATTTAGTGGCCGAATCGGAAGCGTGCAGAAACAAACTTCAAGCGGCTGTGTCGGCTCGATCGTTCGCTGAAGCTCTCTTAAGTTTCGATCGACCTGAAGAACTCGTCTCGATGAGTAGGGAGGTGAGGTCGAGGTTGGAAGATTTTCAAACGCCCGTCGACCCGATGCCCCCTGCCTGGAAAGAACCTCGTTTGAATCCTGCCGCTGCCATGGTCGATGGAAATGATGAAGGTGACGATGACCAATTGGTGGCCAGGCTGTTTGGGGAGTTGACGTTTGAGGGCGAAGCCATGTCCCGAAGTGTCCCAGTCGCGGCCCGGGCGTTTTCAGCACGGTGGACCCACGATGAAAAGGAGTGCGCTCTTTGCGATGTCACCCTTGATGCTGCTGGAAACATTATCGTAGTTGATAAGGACAACAGGAGGATCAAAGTGTTTGATAGTGAGGGTCGATTGAAGATGCTCTCTGACGAAGCTGCTGAGTTGAAGTCCCCCAACAGAGTCCTCTGGCTCCGAAACTCGGGACAGATTTTAGTGAAAGATGAAAAATATTTGAAACTGTTCGGACAAGATGGGAGGTTTGTGGGATTGCTGACTGAGAAACTGAAGCAACCCGTGGGACTTGCTCAAAACGAAGCAGGAGACATCCTCGTTACTGAATGGATGGCTGGCGAAGTTGTCACTCTAGATCAAGAAGGTAAAAGAATGAAAAGTTTTCCGGTTCTTTGTGAAGCTGCAGGATACATAACCTGCTGTCCAAATGGGAATATTGTAGTCAGTGATTGGAAACAACACGTCATCAAGATATTTGATGCCAATGGACGGTTCCTGAAGCAGTACGGAGGACAGGGATCGGGAGACAACCAGTTGGATCATCCCTACGGAGTTTGCTCGGATAGGTTGGAATTTTTCTTAAACATTCCTGTAATTTATAATGAATGGTTGAATAAATAAAAATTTGTTGATAAACATTAATTATTAACTACAGTACATTGTACATGTTGTAATTCTTAACTCTGTTTTCTTTAGCAAATTAACACACAAATTGAACAAAATTGGCTTAATGCAATTATAAACTTTTTCTCAATTCACAAACAAAAAATTTCCCACACTGTATAAACAAATATCCCGACGAACCTCAAACACAAACCCATCCTATAAATTTTTACAGATTCAGCCACATAATTGTTAGTGACACGTGGAACAACCGAGTAGTACTGCTATCAGAGGATGGAAGGTACATAAAGACCATCGTTGGCAAGATGGATGGCATTGAGTGGCCGCAAGCGGTCGCTGTCGACAAATACGGCCGACTTTTAGTGGTCGAACAACACGGACTCGTCAAATTTTTTCAGTATCTCGCTTAAAATTTTGAAAATAGAAAAATAATATAAATTATTTAAGAAAAAATTGACCACTGCTACTACTATAATTACTGCTACTTGAATTACTATTACTTATATGTTACTGCTACCACTACTACAGCTAACCACTGGCTGCTAATTCGGTCACTACTACTGCGGCTGCTACTACTGCGGCTGCAGTTTCTTCAATAACTGCTGTACAAGTAGGTTATTACTACTATTTATTTGCTACTACCACTACTTCTAACACTGGAGTTATTAATTGTAATAAATGACATTAGAAAATAATTAGCAAAATGTTAATTCCATTGGATGAAATCTTTAATTTTTATTTATGGACACGCGAGTTTTGCTTTATTGAAAAGTATAAGATTTGTCTATTAAATTTAAATTGTATCAATTGGGTAATAAGATAATTAGTTTATTAATTAATTAGTTTGGTTGATTCAAGTATATGTAATAATCATTACTAGTATTCATTTGTTTGTGTTTTCCTATCGAATCTCTTCACAATTTCTAACATTTCATCAATTAAACTAAGATAATTAAACATTAGTGAATTATTCAACTAGTTAATTTCTTGTGAAGTTTCAATGTGTCATTCTGCCGAGAAAATATAATGAATATAAAAACTGACTTCGTTTAAAATCATACGTAGTACCAACGCCTTAGTAGTAATACAGTAAAAATAATAACATAGCTATTATCACTATTAATCTCTAAAAGACAAACTAAAAGAATGCTCTAGAACAGGGGTAGGCAAACTTTTTGCAGTGAGGGCCGCATTGAGAACTATTTTACCTTTGAAGGGCCGCATATGTAGCTAAATAGCAAATTTTTTGACCCGGGGGAGAATTTTTGTGAGATATTTTCTAGCCGACGACGACCTTTTTTTGTAGTTTGCCTACATCTGCTCCAGAACAAAATAAAATTATCATCTGCTAAATGATCGGTCATAACGAAAACTACTACTACCACTACTACTACTGTAGCTGCTAATGCTACTACTAGTACTACTACTGCCGCTAAATATCGATGATGACAAAGACTTCGTGCTTATTCTCTTCGTCATAGACTTGCATGTTGGAGTAGGTGATGGCTTTCACTTCAGTGCCCTGGAATGAAAATTTTTTTTATAAAGTTAGAAATATATTTTATTTATTGATATAATTATTATTATTAAAAATCATTTTTATGTAAGAATATTGTTACGGAAAATTGTAAATTTTCATGTGGCCATGTTGTGCCCCAAACTAAATTTAATTCACTTGTGGATGTTTCGCGATGTCAAATGGCTCGCCATGTCTGTATGCGGAAAAATATAATTTAGTGTGTTATTGGAGTTAAAATCAATCAATCAATCAATCAATCAATCAATCAATCAATCAATCAATCAACCAACCAATCAATTAATCAATCAACCAACAAACCAATCAGTCAACCAATCAATCAATCAATCATACAGCAAGTTAACCTTACCCAACGGCCTCTATTTTGAAATTTTCTCTATCAAACGTTTTAATTTCAACTCTCTGGTAGTGGATTGGTAATTTACTAGTAGATATATAATTTTATAAATGAAAATGGAGACAACGATGATCGATTATACATATATATATATATATATATATATATATATATATATATATATATATATATATATATATATATATATATATATATATTTAAGGGTATATATATATACATAGGCGTAATAAGGTGCACCAACTCAGCTAGTAAATGAATGAATGAATGAATAAATGAATGAATTAATAGTAATAAAATAAAAATAATAAAAACAGTAGCAACCCTAGCGATGAAGAAAGGCTCTGCTGAGAATAAAAAGAGAAATTCATCTAAGAAGTGAAAGAGCAGAGATTGCATGTCATCACCTAGTTATAATATCAATAATAATAAAATAATAATAAATATTATTATTATCATTGTTACAAATTATAACTGCAGCATTAACTATAGCTGGTGATAATTGAACAGGGCAGTGGTGTAATGGTCGAGGTGGCTGGTATTGCTGTTACAGTGGCCGGGTTCGAATGCAAAGTGATCCCGACCCAGCTATCACATGTGTGATGCGTTGTGTGTGCGTGTGGGTTTTGACACATTTGAAGATCAGTTATGACAGAGAGTCAGCAGGAATGATAATATCAATAGTCCTCACAATTATCTTTGTCAACGATTTTCACGACAAAATCTATTGCATTTATTATGATTAATTATCATTATTATTATAGTTAATTATTATTATTATAGTTAATTATTATTATTATTGTATTTTATTGTGGCTACCTTCTGCCTCTATGGTCTGGCTCTCACACTGTTCAACAGTGCTAATGTCCGTCATATAACCAAACATAGCCTCAGCTGCCTGACAAACAATAATAATAATAAACAATAATAATAATAAACAATAATAATAATAAACAATAAAAATAAATATATTAATATACAATAATAATCTGTTTGAAATTTTGTAAAGTTTTGCCTTTTACTTGCTCAAATGCTTCTTCCAAAGTGTCGCCCCGTGTTGGCGAGATGGAGTTAAAGAAAAAAAATTTTTAGGAAAAAAAATTTGTTTAAAATTTAAAATAATAAACATAAATTAGATACATACACACACCAATTATCTCTCTCTCTCTCTCTCTCTCTCACACACACACCTTCACAAACATATACACATTCACACACGCACACACAGACAGAAACACACCTTTATTCTTTTTCTCTTTTTCACACACACATTCACACACAGATAGACACACACTCTTTATCTCTCTCTCTCTTTCTCTCTCTCTCACAGACTGATACAGTTTATCTTATTTCCTAAATTTTACCCCCAAACTAATTAACATAATTAATTAACACTCATCAAACAATTTTTTTTCAGTTCAGCTAGCAATGGCTGTTGAAGCTATGAAAAGGATATAGGCATGGATTCTGAAATGAAATGTTTTATGAAATATACAAAATATACAAAAAATTTTCCAAACATAAAAAGAAATCATAACATTATTTAATCATTTATCAGTTTTGTTTGAGAGAAATACCAAAAAATCAATGAAATAACAAAAATTTATTCATTTTATATAACAATCACCCATTCATGTTTCATGTATGAATGAATTTTCTCTCTCCTCTCTCTTTCTATATATATATATATATATATATATATATATATATATATATATATATATATATATATATACTAACTGAACATCAGCTGTGTGATCTAGATCTAGAAACAAAAAAATATTTTTTTCATAAAATAAATTAATTAATCAACAAAAACTAAACAACACAATGATAACAGATAAATAATAGAGTAAAAATTAAGTAATTATTACTATGAACAGTATTGCATTACATTACAAGATTAATGATTACGATTCTTACAAATTACCGATTTTGATACAGATTACACATTACACTACAATTACGGTCAAAGTCAAACAACAATAAATTATTTAATTTAATTAAATTAAATAAGAAATTAATTATAAGAACATAAGAATGTTGTCTACAATTTTTTTAAGAATAGTAGGTAGGTAGACAGACATAGAACTCACATTCATATTTAGTCCCAGGAACCGCCAAACTTTTCAAAATGGGGGCAAAATCCTCCCCATAATCCCCCTCCACATCATAATCGTCGCCATCGTAATTCTTGTCACCGTACCCACCGGCAAATCCGTCAATTTCACCATCCCCATCATGTTCACTAGCCATTATTGCGTAATGCAGACCTCTGTTAAGTTGGTTACGAAGTTTGATTTTTGGGAAAAGTGAATCGAAATCGTATCCATATATTATATTATATAACACACACATTCACACACACACAGATAGACAGAAACACACTCTTTATTTCTCTCTATCTCTCTCTCTCCCTCTTTCACACACACACACACACAAAAACACACACACAGACATAAACACACAAACTATATATATATTGTAATATAGATGTTAAAATGTCAAACTTAAAATATATATCCTAATATAGAAACTTTGATACATACGCTGATATAGAAACACTGATACACATACAGATATAGAAAAAGATAAAGATACAGACCCATAAATATACATTGATACATGAACACATAGACATACACTACACATATACCTACATACAGGCAAAGAAACATATACAGATCGCAATAGATACATACAGAATTCGACTATAGTAATAAAATACATACATAACGTAATAATATGATGAAAAAAAGGAGACAGAAAGAGAGAGAGAGAGAGAGAGAGAGAGAGAGAGAGAGAGAAATTGACAGATAGTTAATCTGAAATTAATCAAAAAAGAATTCTGTGACAGGTGCCAAGTGGGAAAAAATTTGAACGAACGAACAGACGAACCAACAAAACAGTGAACGAACGAACAAATGGATGGACAATGAACGAACGAACAAACGGATGAACAATGAACTAACGAAAGAACATACCAGTGTCGAAGTTGGATGAAAAATATCCGACTCCGGGTTTCGACTCCCAGAAAAATTTTTAACTTTTTGCATCATAAATCCACCTTATTATCACAAACAGTCACGTGGTGGAGCGAAAGAACGAACGAATGAACGAAAGAAATGAATGAAAGAACAAACGAACAAATAAATGAATGCACACTTTTAATAAAGAACTACCTGCCACTCATTTAATCAAGCATTTTTATTAATAATATAATTATCTTTTTTATCATTCGCAAACCATAATTTTTTTTTCCATTCACTTATCTGGCAATAAAAAAATATCGATTTCTCATGAAGAGGATGAATTCTGAATGGGTGCACGTATCAATTAACATGGTAAGCTCATTGATCCTGCTTCCGCTCCCTATTATTCCGTGTACATACGTAATAATTGATTGCTCATGTACACGTAAGGCACACACATACACACACACACACACAGACAAACACACATCTACTTCGACACATACATAAAAATATATATATGTGTGTTGTGTCACTATTTAACGACAGTTTTTATGTATTGTCAGAGCAGGTAAAGGAAATTAATGCTGATGAAACTTTATGGGAAAAAAAATTTCTTATGAGATTTTGTGAAAAATTTTACAATTTATCATTTCGTTATTAAATACACTGAGAACTTTATTTGTGAATCTGTCGATAATTAAGTTATGAATCGAACATATTTTTTAATTATTTTCATTTTAATATTTAAAGCTGCCCACCATCAATTGATATCATTCTCAACAACTCAACAGACGTTGAATGTTGCGATGACAATAATTATACCGGCTCTTACACCAGTTTCGGCTCCGTCTTGGAGATCGGTTCGATTCGTTAAATCGAAACCGACCACAACCTCAACTTATTCGATTTTCGACGCCTATAACGATTGGTTAGCCGAGAATAACGCAATCACTATTACCACCAGTAGCAGTAGTAGTGGTGGTTTAACTACTAGTGGTAGTAGTACTAGTAAAAGTAGTAGTAGTAGTAATACCGAATCTGTAGTTTCGGTTTCGGTTTCGAGTATAATCGGATGCGCGCTGTTGTGTGTGAGTGGGAGTGTGTCAAGTTGTGTCAGCATGGAATTCCACGATGATGCCAAACTCTGCCAACTCTACCCGCCATCGCTGGCTGCACTAAACAAGGCCTTCAGAAAAACTGCCGGTTAGTTGCTGATACCTTGTCTATCTATACCTTGTCTATACCTTGTATAATGGCGTTTTTTTTTATCTTTTTTTGTATGGTGCTCTAAGAATTTTCAGGTATTTTTTTGTTTTTCTTGATAGGATATATTGTCTAGCTAGAATTGTCTGAAATTCGTGAAAATAACACTCATACCACACACACGAACGCACACACACACACACACGCAAACACAATACACACACATGCAACACAGAGTGTCCATCTGATTTCATGTATGATCACCAAACCGGCAAGTGCTACAAGCTGATAGCCAAGAAGGCAACGTGGTTGGACTCAAGGTTGGCATGCAACGCTCTGGGTTCGCACCCCGTTATTGCTGCGTCTTCATCTGATACAAAAACTCTTATCAACTTTATGGAGTTGCCTAGCCTAGGTTATTTTGTTTAAATTAAAAATGGAAAATAACTAAAAATTGATTTTTTTGTAAAATTTAAAGTTAAAATTTATAACCAATATATAAATTTAAATAAGTAAATTTAAAAACACAAAAAAACAAAGCAAAATCATTAATCCACATGCCATTATATAAAATATCGCAATGAACGAGCAAACGAACGAACGAACGAACAAAAACGAACCACCTGAACACCTCACAGCCACAAACATGACCTACTGCGGATACACCTTCTGGTCGTCGGGAATGGGATTTTCCCCACCGACCAACCTAACCTACGTTTGGCGTCCGTATGCGACGAAATCCAAGGACGTCTACCTGCCGATGAAGTATACGAATTGGGATTTGACCCAGCCGGATAATGCCGGCGGAATCGAAGGATTCGTGCACATAAAAGCCAGAAAGAGTGCTAACTGGAATGACCTGCCAAACAGTAACCTACTGTGCGTTCTATGCGAGGTAGATATGGATTGATTGAATGGAGGTGGTGATTTTAAAAACCGATTTCAATTTCATGTAACATTATATTTATAAACTCTTGACGTTAACAATAATACCATGCTATTTTTATTTGATTTTATTGGACCCTAACTCTAATCCAGCACGAACTCTTTAAAGTTTAAACTTTCTTTCATTTCATATGGACAACAATTGTCTTCTTTAAAACTTATTTTTAACATAACAGTTTAAACAATAATATAGTACATAAATATAGATAACATTGTTGATAATATTATAAAAGTAATGTAATAAAAGTAGTGTAGTAATGGTAAGCAATGTGACCTTTCAAATTATATAGGAAGCCAGACACCGCATGGTAGTATGTTGAAAATAACAATAATGATGATAAGAAAAACAAATAGATAAGACACAAATTAAGTTGTTAGCTATTGTGAATATAAAGAATTTCTAAAAATAAAAAACAACATCTAGTGTTTCAAAACAAACGTCAAAATCTCCATTTCGAGTAATAAAAACTAGCCTTTTCCAACTTTTTTCCAAATTTCGATTTAGATGTTTTTTTCGAAAAAAATTCAACACAATGATTTTTTGTTTTTAAATTTCATTGAAACAATTTAAAAATTTAAACGTCAAAAACAAATTATTAAAAGTCTTAAAACATATGTCAGAGCTCAGAGTAAACATCCATCTAATTATATCGTCCAGCGGCTTCCAAACATTCAATCAACTTTTTGTTTGTATTATCATATGCACTCCTTAGAAGTTCTCGAAGGATAAAAAACCACGCAACGTGAACATTTATTAAGAACAGTTCACAGCATATCATAATGGCTAAATCAAACAGATATTATTTATACATGTATATATAAAGTAAGTCAAGAAATATACAAAAATTATATAACCAAATTAAAATAAACTAGAAAGCAGTCAGCATTTAATGAATAAATAAAAGACATTATTAAAAAAATTGTTTAAAAAAGTAAAATTTAAGTCGACGACGAAAATAAATTCAGTATGTTTTGTTGGTGTGGTGGTGTGAAGCAAAAACAAACACATAACACAAAAATAGTAAAATGTCGTAAGATTAGTAGTCAGTCACCTACCTACAATTAAATTACTCTCAGGGCCCTAGCTTACCTATAATGATTAACTCATCTCACCTTCCCACAAATTTGTATTTTTAAGTTTTAGGAATTTTACGTTTTAGATATTGTATTTTACATATTTTTACGTTTTTAATTTGCCTTTTTTGTATAATTTAATTGAAAAAAAATTTTTGTTAGAAACTTTTTAACTAATGTTAAGTCCTAGCCTACCTACGATTGTCCAACTCATCTCAATCCCTAACTTACCTACGAATTAAATTAAAGTCCGGTAAAGAAAATAGAAAGTTGAAAAGAAACATAACAACAACGACACCGAATGATGGATGTTGTGTATGTGTGTCTTGTATTGATGTGTGTGTGTGTGTGTGTGTGTAAATATGCGCGTGTGTACTCTCCAGAAACTTCTTCACTCAATACGGACGAACTCCATTGCACCGACCATCATTTGACACGCATCGTGAATTTGACCAGATACTGAAAGACACTAAATCTGAAAAAAAATTAATTTTTTAAAATAAAAACTCAGCCATTGGAAAAAAGCAATAGGCACCTTATCTGATTGAGATAACAATCCACTTCATTCAATCCAAAACATTCCAATTATTTGTTCGAGTACTTTCTAAGGTACGAAGGCAAAAAATTTCCCGTTAATATTTTATTGTTATTGTTGTTGTTTACTTCGAATTGTCATCGGAACGATCATCATGAGTCCACCATCTGAAACGTGCTGAAGCCCACCATTCTGTAGACAAGTTTTTTTTATTAAAGTGCTGGTAAATCAAGGAACAAAGGAACGAACGAATAAATGATTAACTGAATGATTGAATGAATGGTTGAATGAATAAATGAGTGAATGAATTAATCAATCAATGATTCAATGAATGAATAAAATGAATCAATTATTACAAAAATAAGAAAAAATAAAAACGAAACTTAGCCTTACTTCAAAAATCGTCGTTACTGTAATCCATTGCACCGACCGACCACCATTATCTGATCGGCAAACAAGATGTCATCCGAACTGCAGAGTGTCAGTCGAACAGCCAACGAGCTGATTCTTCCTACACCACCTTCATCATATGTAAATCACCATTAGACCACCATCTGAAACGTGCTGACGCCCACCACAGCCCACCTCTTATCATTCTGTAGACAAAATTTTTTGTTAGCGTAGTAGTAAATGAATGTTTGAACGAAGGAATGAATGAATTATTTAATCAATGAATCAACGAATGAATATAATGAATCAATTAAATAGTTTGAAAAATTGAATGAGAAAATAAATAAATGTGAAAAATAAAAAAAACGAAACTAAACCTTATTTCAAAAATCGTCGTTACTGTACTCCATTGCACCGACCACCACCATCTAGTCGGCACACAAGATGTCATCCGAACAGCCAGCGAGCTGATTTTTCCTACACCACCATCATCATACTTAAATCATCATGAGACCACCATCTGAAACGTGCTGACTCCCACCACTGCCCACCTCTTATCATTCTGTAAACAAATTTTTTTATTAGCGTATGTCAGAATTTTAGAAGCAAAAAATTATAAAATGAAAATAATGGCAAACAAATAATATCTTAAAATAATAAAGAGAGTAAAATATAAAAAAAACTTACCGTCGTCCATTCGACAAAGGCAGAATGTTGAATGCGGTCCGGTTCCTACGTTGTCCTCCAAAAGTGGTGCCAGTCCTCCTCGAGATTGTTGTTGAAACACAGCCCGTGGAATTGAGAAAGAAAAAATTCTTATCAGAAAGCTTAGCGGTGCCTGCATCTCAAATTGCTAAATAAAAATAATCCTATCTACCTATTCAATTACCTTAACTAATCTATATTAAGTTGTTAATGGTACGATAGTCGAAAGTCCCCCTTCATTCTCCCTCCTTGCACAGAGGTTCACCGACAGCCAGGGCACCGGATAGAAAACCATTGCCGTGCGGATAGTAGACTATTGCCGTGCGGATAGTAAACCATTTGCCGTCCGGAAGCCGTGCGGGTAGTAGACTATGGCCGTGCCGCATGGTAAATCATTACCGTGCAGATAGTAAACCATTGCCGTCCGGATAGTAAACCATTGCCGGTACACCACTGGCCACCAAGGCTTACCTCTGACAACAGACTTCGAAATTCAGAGTCTATCGGCTATCGTACCCTCAACTTACCTATTCATTACAATTAAGCCCTAGCCTACCTAAAATTACAAAACTCAAGAGCCCAATTCATTGGCCATTCGGCACCCACCCCACCACCTACTTAATGCCTTGGGCTCCAACTTAGTAATAATAATATAAAACTTAAACCCTAAATTTATTAATGAGTATGTGTTACAACATAGCCTCAACCTACCTATTCATTACATTACGGTCCTAGCTTACCTAAAATTACAACACTCAAGAGCCCAATTCATTGGCCTTTCGGCACCCACCCCACCACCTACGTAATGCCTTGGGCTCCAACATAATAATGATAATGTAAAACTTAACAATTAACCTACCTATCGATACACTTACAACGTTTTAATTTACATTACAAGATTTTTCCTAGAATTACATTATTGCTCTTAACTACCTATGAAATTAAATTATTCTCAACCTTAGTAATAATAAATTAGAATGTGTAATGAAAATAAAATTACGCTCAAATACTAACACATGTGTTTATGTATGCAATTGTGTGCGTGTGTGTACTACGCTGATGCGTGTAATGTGGGTGCAAGAAAAATTAGAAGCGATAAACTTACGCTGCCTACCTATTCAACTACATTAGTGTTGGATGTTTCCTATCTTTCCTACCTACAATTAAAATTAGGCCTATCTAACCTACCTATATAGCTACTTAATGTAATTGTGTGTGTGTGCGTGTGCGTGTGAGCATTCTTACCTAATGTTAAATTACAGAGAAAAACAGAGAAAAAAGAATAAAACGTATCCCAGCCAGGCGTATCTTCTTTGCCACTGAATGAACGAACGTAGCCTGACATCTTCCACGATGAATTTCTTTGGAAGCTTCAACCTGAATAAAATGGATGAAATGGAAAAATCTTATTTATTTGACTAATTTAAATGAAAATAGAAAAACGAGCCGCGGTGATTCCGCCGGAAAAGCCACC